GGGGAGAGGGAGGTCTGGGCCTCCCTTCTGAAGCTGCTGCCCCCGCGACCCGACCCCGGATAGGCGGAAGAAAATGGATGGATGGATGGATAAATCAGGGGTGCCCAAAGGTTTTCCTTGAGAGGGCCAAAACTAAAAACCATTTTCCCTGAGGGCCAAAATTAAAATCAGTCATTGTGGTTGTCCACATTCTTTTGTTTGTTTGGTTATTTTTCAGCCCATGAACATGGAGAAAATTCAACATATGCTCGGGCAGCAAAGGCTCCTGAGTTTTTTCATAATTTTAAATTTTGAGTATACAGTATGTGGTCTTATAAGGTGTGAAAATCTAGATATGGACTTAAATCTAAGATAAATGTCTCTTGAAGTTACTTGTTTTTTATATTTAATCATAACACAATTCAAAGAAAGTCAGTACCATGAGTTAAGACTATCTGACTACAGCTCCTTGTACGTATAGTTGGACCAATTGTTGAAAAGACTAAGTGGAAATATAGTGTTTCTACATAAGACAGATTATAATTTAGTAACCAGGACAACTGGTGGTGGGCCAAATCAAATGGCTTGGCAGGCCAAATTTGGCCCACGGGCCCCACTTTGGGCACCTCTGATCTAAATGGTTGTAAATACAGATTTTCATACAAGTATGACAATGAGTGACTTTGTACAACAGAGCAAACCATGTGGTGAGCCTCTCATAGCAAGAAATCATCTTCTGGGTTTTCTGACAGAACACAGATCTTACAGAAAACCCAGTGTCGTCGAGTTCAAACRCATGCAACACATCAGGGTATTCTGAGTTTGAAAATGCAAAGTTTAACATTTAAAGAGAACAGTTAAATCCCAAGGAGCTTGGTGCAGGCTTGATGTGAACCAGGAAAAAGAAAAAAAAATCAATTCCTGCAGCTGGAGCTTTGCTTAAATGTACAAAGAGAACAGGACAGTCGCATTTTGATTTGAAGGAGAGTAACTGACATTGTCACTCTCACTGTTTTTTTGTTTTTGTTTTTTTGCTGACAGGGTTACTACTTCCACACAGATAATCCTTATAAGGACTTGCCAAATGCATTTGAGGAAGGACTAAAGAAATCTCGAGAGGGAGATTTGCCAGACTCTGTCCTTTTGCTGGAAGCAGCCGTCCTGCAGGACCCTCATGATTCAGAGGTGAATTCATTTTGCACACAAGTCACATCACCTTGTTTTTGTATTTGTTTGTTTTTGGGGGGACTGGGTTGCCCTATATGACTGCCAAAGTTAACCACGGGGACATTAATATTTACAAAAGCCTCTCTGTTTTAAGAAAGATGATGCCTTTGTAGCTTAAAAGGCCAGCAGGAAACACAATCCAGCCCCAGTAAACTGTACTGGATCAGCTGRGATTTCAGTGCACACCCTAATCAAACTCCAGCCCCACTTCCTCCACCTCATGTTGTGAGAAGCTGCAGAGGAAGAACGCCTCACTGACCACAGGCGGCGTGAAGCTGATTTAGCGGGCAGCACCCACAGGCTTGACGCTGATTGCCTGTAGCAGCCGAGGGATTTATTTTTTCACTTGTTAAAAAAGAATTGTTTACTGTAGCGAAAATACACAACTTGCTCTTCATCAGAACTTCCATTTGCTCAGGGAGCTGAGTAATACCTCATTCTGCAAAAAAAATAAAAAATAAAATCTCCTTTTTGCTCTCTCCCCATCATTTCAAAAGGAATGACTTCTTTGCAAGCTAAAAGAGCAAAGCCGTTTCACAAAGTGCTTTCAGAATCCTCCAGAAATGTGCCAGTTATTCCGAAGAGAGGATTATCCCGCGGTGTATGGAACTAATACAATTCCAAAATTCCTTCTGGGGCAGCTTAGTGGCTTATTGGCCCACTGTGAATCATTCAGAAATAATTTCACCCTTCATTTCAAAGAGTCAAACAAAACAGCATCGACAGAGATAAGCTTTAGAACAAGATGTTTAATGTGCCTTTACACTCGCAAAACACAGATGAGTAATCTCATAAAATCATTGTTTGGATTTTAGTCTGTTGTTTTCTGCTTTGTTGTGGTAGGACTTYGTCTGCTTTCAGTGGTAAACTTACGCACATGCTGAGTAAGAAAAAGCTTAATGAGATGGAATTGAAGAAATTGAAACCAGAATTAGAACAAAACGTCAACAGGAGTCAGCATTTTACCTTTTAAAGGGCTAATATTATGTGTTTCTCAAGCGTATATTTAAATACTATACCATAATAAAG